GGGGGGGGGGGGGGGGGGGGGGGGGGGGGGGGGGGCACACATCGTCGAGCATTTAATCGCGTTTTGCAAACAACACGATCAGAAATAGTTGACCGTTGAAATGTATATACAATGTAACGTCACACTGTCACTGCCAATTAATTAACGCGCGATCGCGTATATACCGTACAGCGCGAAATCCAGAGTTCTTAGGAAACAAATATTCGTGGGCGGTTTATCGACTCACCGAGTAAAAATACTAGTTACGATGGTAATCGAAGGGCGGACACAATCCTTTCAATTTGAAAGCGAACGAAGAAACCCGCGGTTATCCGGCGAAACGTCAGACACCGCTTCCACGTCCTGTGTCTGACTAAAACTGAAGGTGACCTTTATGTGTGCTTCTGCACGCAGCCCCCACCATCGGTATCGGTTGCCCTTCCACACCCCGCTCGACAGACAATCAAATTTAGGAAAGGTCTGTAGATGGTGTTAGTGGGTCGCGCCTGTCCGCCAATAACCAACCTTCGTCGTTACCGTCGTGTTTCCGGAACTTTTTCGAATCTTACCCGCACAAACGGCATTTTCATTTCAGCGCTGCGTTTTGCGCCATATTTATTATTCGACCTATATCTGGATCCGGATCTAGTGCAATGTATGAATTAGTTTGTTCGTACGTATATCATATTTCGTAGCTAGGGAATGATTGCACCGATTTCATGGCGTATATATTTCTACGTTATCTTCTTCAGCTGTAATACGTTTAAATGTATTGTCCAAGCTGTTACGAAAAAAATGTTTCGAATTCGATCGTTCAAATGTGCTAGCTGATTCGCGGGCAACAAGTTGCGCGCCGGTAAAGCCAAATTTGAAGAGAACTAAACACCTTCGCACTGGTCTGAAATGCAGTTCTAGCTAAGCAACAAACATCTCTAATTTATTATCAATTAGTTTATTATAAATTTACGAATAAATAGACCAGCAGCTCAGCAAATAATCAATAAATGTATTTAATATACATAAATAGAATATTAATTGACCTCCTTACACATCCAATTCCTCTTTCCTACATGTTAACTTAAAATTGTCATTTCTAATCCGATCGCTTGGACATACAAGCATGTAAAAAACAGGGATAAAAGTTAGCGGTAGTAACAGTGTAAATGAATACATACAGGTAGAAGAAGAAGAAGAGAATAATGATGAAAATCATTTTGCTTTGCTAGAATTCCATTCGAAATCACTGCGGCTCTGTCTCGACGTACTCACGTTCCAAACTACATCGCGAAGAAACGAGAAGAAGCTTTTTCAAAAGAATTCGTACAACTTCTAGATCCATCTTACGCAACGATCGTGAAAGGTAGCTTCGAATCTACGTGTCGGTCGTCCCGTAGGTATTTCGATTCCTAGAAGGTAGCGTCGCCGAGAGTCAACACGATTTCGGGCCATTTTCACAGGAAGAAAATAAAAAAAAAAGAGGATGCATCGATCGTTTCGAATAACTATTCGACATCGTGTCCCAAATTACGGTATTCGGAATTCTGTCTAATTAACTGTACACATTCCGAGACATGTAACGCTAAAATTAAGAATCGTGCGACGCGTTGATCTTGAATTATTGTTCGTTTTTTTTTTCGTTCATTTCAAGGTGACAACGAAACGTATGCGACGATCTGGAAAATGTTCTAGAAACGTATGCCACAATGTGGGACAGATACAGTGGTTTGTAAAGATCAAGTTTCTTGTCTCCCGTAATAATTGAGTCGTTTTACCCTTCGTGTGCCGAGAATGACGCATCGCGTTCGCTCCGCGCGTGCACAAGTGTCGAGAGTTTTATTATAGCACGGTAACCGGGTTCGTCCGAAGAATTTCATCAGGCATCGTTTCGCCGTACAACCATGAAAATTCTCGGTCGAACCGTATATCACAGCTGTTTCCCGTCGTCGACGGAAACGTGCGCGTTCTACAGAAAGGAGAACACGGAAGCCACTGGAGAATAGGATAGAAATGTATAATTGCCGATTTCAGTATGATACACGATTTCATCATTTCATACGCAATCGCGACGCTTTGCGTCAGAAATTCGCAACTGATTCACGAATTCGGTGAAACACGATTTCAGTCTAAAGCGAAATCGGTGCAGAAACCAAACGAAATGTACGCACTTAACGCGGAGCAAACGATCGTGGTACGATTACGATCGCGCGTGTCGGTTATATGGACGATGCAACGATGACGCGTCTTCTGCTATTAATGGTGCAGTGGAGAAACAATCGACGGCGACACTCGATCGAGAATGACAGAACGATAGGTATATATATATACATATATATATAATCAGTTTTTATATATATATAAATATACGTATATATGTGTAGCACACGATAAAGTAGCATGAAAGTCGCACGAAAGACAACGCGAGATTCTGCCGACAACGCTTTCAAGTTCAAGTAGTGAACGCGCGATTCTCAACCGTGCTCCGGATGTTAGCTCTAATCTTCCGTTGATCTCGTACCGCCTAGCTGTGCAGCGTTTCGTTTTTTTCGTTCGGTTAAGCTTCGGGCCGCGCGAAGCATCAACGACGTTAATTCATTTTTTTACAAGACTCCGGCGAATGGCTTCGTACTCTAGTTTCGCGTATAAATTGTGCAAAAAACGTAGCACGATTAATAGCACTGTAGGTAAAGATGGATAGGTGGATAGGTAGAGATATAGATAGGCCCTTTCATTCCGTAAAGGCACGCACCATACGCGACAATTTTCGCATACGCGTGTATAATATCTATATAGAACTTTTTTGTATACATGTAGACAACCCCGTTAAGGTCCGCCGCAACATTCTCATGCAGCGGGTGTCTCCTCGAGCGACACTCTTTCTCTCGGATCTACGTCGAGCCGATTCGATCGGTCCCGACCACGCCGTGTCTTCCTCCAACGGGGACGACGAGAAAGCGGTTATTCGTATCGCAAAACCAGCGCGGCGTCTCAAACGAATATTTAAAGCCACGGCCGAGTAATCTCGAGCGTGTTTCACAGCGAGCCCTCCCGATCATAAATATCGTACCGCCAATTACGAGGATCGTCCGCGAAAGCATGATCGTCGCGACGACTTTTTGAACTTTGGCTGTCGTCGCCCAGGACCCGGTACCTTTCTCACGTTTCTCACCCGCAAATGCCGTAAATACCGCAATCGACACACCGGAGCCCAGCGACCCTCGCTCGTCTTTAGGGCTCGGCCGATGCCGTGGAAGCAAGGCAACCGAGGTTATTATAGTTGTTTCTCTTGTTCTTTTTTTTCTCTTTTTTTCAGACATTTTATCAGAATTTATTATTTCGTGTAAACGTTTATAATAATTATAATTTACAATTACGATGTTTGATGATAAATACAAATAGAACAACGGAAGATGGGAAGGGGAAACTAGGGAGATTCGATGGATGAGATAGGTACGTGGAAGTGGTATGCAGAGGCTAGCTTGTTCGACGAATGGAAAGAGAGATGTGAGGGCCAAAGAGAGAAACAGAAAGAAAGAAAGAAAGAAAGAGAGAGAGAGAGAGAGAGAGAGAGAGAAGAGATAGCCATGGAGGCAGGAAGTGACAAGAGAAAGAGATACGCGCGATGAACCGATAATTGCAATTGGAATGAAAGACGCGTAATTATGACTTATAAAACGATCCGTTACGAAACAGTACCGAAAAGTATTTCAGACGAATCGAAAAGAAGGAGGGCGATGGCGCAGGAAGATGCAAACGCGGGTGCGAGCTACAGCAACAAAGGTATTCTCGTATTGAACTTACGTCGATAAAGCGTGTGTCGCTCACGCGTCACAGAAGATCTAGCTTCGGAATTTGAAATGGGCGGAATCAGCGGGAAATTAATAGAGAGAGAGATAATTGGTTCAGCGAGAAAACGATGGGATCGTATATAAATACATCGTTTTGGACCTGCTGCGCGAAAACGAGACCATTCATCGTAGAAAACCGGAACAAGTCGAGTCGAGTCGAGTCGAGTCGAATCTAGTAGAGTGGAGATTGTCGAAGTTCTCCGACAAGGAGAGGACACTGCACGTAAAAGGTACCCGGTCCCGCTCAGCCGGCCCATCCCTATGATCGTTTCAAAGACTCTCTCTCGAGGACCTGTTCTCGCAGCCCTTCGTCGTTTCATTCTCACTCGTTTGGTCTCTCTCTTGCATCGGTAAGTGGACAATCGGCGAGTGTCCGATTATTTTAAGACTACCTCGGCAACAATCGATTCACTCCAGAGTCCCGCGCGAGTCGATCTCATTATCGCCATTATCACCATCATTATCATCATCATCATCATTATCATCATCATCGTCGTCATCGTCACCGTCACCGTCATCATTATTCGCTTTGGTTAGCTTTCGTTCGCGATACGACAGAAAACATGGACACATCGAACGTATAGTACGTCGGGACACGTTTACCCACACACACACACACGTTTTTAATATCGATAATCGTTACTTGTTTTGCCATGTAGTATGTATTGTTGTGGTACACATTTACGTATCGGTATGTGTGTTTCTGTTTGTCTCTTGTGAAATAGTAGGCGCGAGAGCTTTTTCGTGTATGTTACACACATACTTAAAAGTATAGAAATGCCACACGAGGCGAAGAATTGTGCGCGACACACAATCGATGTTCTCTAGCAACGACACAAGGATGAAACGTGAACCGAACCAGAGGCGGACGGTGGATCTCCAAGGACCTCGGAGCCGATTTACTTGATCGATCGATCGGAAGTCGTGTAAAACAACATAAGCAAAATGAAAACTGAGAGAGAAACTCTTGTTTGATCATTCATTTATTTTTGTATATCTCGTAGAAAAAGAAGAAGAGTTGACTGGTGTGTATCTGTGTATGTCTGTCTGTATTTGTGTATGCCCGTATATATATATATATATATATATATATATATATATATATATATATGCGACTGTATGAGTGCGCGTGCGGTGAGTGTATGCGTATGTTCAACATAAAAACAATTGGAATCGTCTATCTTAATAGTTTTTTTTATTTAGTTGGAGAAAGCTAACGTTTCTCACATAGAATTTATATGTAAAAACGTAAAAATGACTTTTCACGGCCCTCAAATAATTAGAAGCAATTAGTTCGTACATATATACATATCAATCCGCCCCTGGACCGAATGTATCCGCTGCATTCGGACGCGTCGAATGTTCATTTATCGTCGGATCTTATATTCCATTATCGGGAAATGGTTACGCTCGTCCTTTGCTTTTTTTTTTTCGAGAGAGGTTTCGGTCGAGGCAATTGGATCCACCTTTTACGCGTCTCTGAACAACCTTTTTTTTCTTTTTATCTTGTTTCTTTACAATGCTGTTTTACCCCGAGAAACCGGAAGAAATTCCTGTCGATATATCACAACGATTACATGAAACGAAAACGCAAAATGGCGTTTATAAGTGGCATCGTTTCCTCCACGAGTTCAAATTCAGGAACGTCGTTCAACGCGACACACGTACCGCTAGGTGTGATCGTACAATCGATGGAAAATTATGGAAAACAACGAATATTCGAGCTATCGACAATTTCCACGAGATCGATCATGGCCATGGAATGAACGCGCACACATGCACGCACGCACGCACGCACTCGTATACTTTGTACGTATACCGTAAAGTGAATCCGAGGAAGAAAAAAAAATACTCATTTTCCTTGCTTTTGATTACGATAGGATCTGCTAATCTGCGATTGATTGCGATACCTGTACATTGCGCGGATGTGTGCGCGTCTCGTTAACACATACGGGGAAAGGATAAGCAGAGAAACGATAGAAAGAGAGGCAGAATGTGCGTGAGAGAAAGAGAGACAGAGACGTCTGGTGCCCCGAAGAATGCCAGAGTAAATCAAAAGAATCAAGCAACGGAGACACGAGATGTACGGGTAAGGAAGAGTTTGTCAGAGATCGTCGTGTAAGAGATCGGTTGCTCGAAAGAACGCAAAAGCGGTGTTCCCTTTCCTCTTCGATATTCGTGCATTGGAAACGGACGGCCGTAACGTGAGGAGGACAGAAAAGCATTCAGAGAAATCACGACGGTTCACTCACCTCGGTGTAGTAGCCGTGATTGCGCGATCGCGATAATCCACGACGCAACCTTAACACAACGATTACACACGTATCCATATTAGAGGAATACCGATCGCGTCGACGGTTTCCGACAAAGAACTGTGTTTCGACAGAAGCAAAACGGAAACGAAAAATCGCGCGGTAAAAAGTTACACGTTCGATCGGTTCGAATAAGACGGAAGAGCGTGCAGTACACACATACCCAAAGAAATGAGAAAAAAAAAGTATCGTATGTAAAAAAAGTAATTCACCACCGATGTTCTTGTTTCTTTTTTTGGAACTTAATAACTTAATGTATTTTTACTCTCCTTTCTCCTCCTACGTTCTTCCCTTCGTATAATAATATCGTACTTGCTAGACAATGTGAAATTTAATTTAATGACAACTGGATATAATGTAGTTAGTTTCATGCGTGCTTTTTTTCCCTTTGTCTTCGTTTCTTCTTCAACGTCTGTATTTTCCTTTGTTTAGCGAAATATTTTAAGTGAACACTGTCCGAGCGATTATGCTCGCTTCACTGACAACGAGGCCCTCCTGTGCTCCCGTTCGCGTTCTAGTTTTCTTGTTCTCGAGGAAACCACGGGACTCCGAAAGAGACGACAACACGCGTCCTCGACAGCGAGCCGAGTCGAGCCGATAGTACGCTACGTGCCATTATTATCCTACGGGAAACTTTCTTATCAATCTTTTGTCTCGTCGAAGGCCGTCTCTTTGTCGTCGCGTGACTCTCCCGACGGCAATAGAGTACACAAGAGTACAGATATAAGTAACAATATGTGCTGTGCCACGCGAAAGGGGAACGGTTTCGAACGATTTTCAACGGTTGGAAGAGGAAGCAGGTTGGCGCGGAGGGACTCGTGGTCGCCGGACAGCGCTCGCGTTTCAGATGGTAAACAGTGAGCAGATCTGGGAGTGACAGTGGTGTTTTTCCGCGGGTTATATTCTTCGCATCCCGTGTCTCGTACCGACGCAAAACGGTGGCATCAAACGCTACATTTATTCCTTCGATTTAATGTTCTTCTCTTCGTTTTCACGTTACAGTCTCTCTCCATATAAGTTGATTCGGTCGCCTCTAGTTACTCGAGAATCAATTTCACCGTATCCGAACATAGTCGTACGACGAGACAAAGTTTGCGAAACAATAATACTCTTCCTGTCCATTCCTCTGTTCATCCACAATTTGCTCCTTCCTATTCTTCCGTACAAACACGAGTCGATATACTGGTTTTCTTTTCTTTTGCCGGAGAAATTTCGTGCTCGAAATTTGGACGATTCTCGCGCGGCTCGACCGTTTTCTTTCATCGAGAATCGTACGCAAACACAGGCGACGCACCGTCTAGGACGATGTGGGCTTTGGAACGCATTCGTTCGTACTTTCTCTCATTCTCTCTCTCTTTTAAGATTTTCCATCCTTCTTTCACGCTCTCCCTCCATCTCTCTCACGCACTCGGTACGTATACACACATGCACACACACAAACACACACACACACTCTCTCTCTCTTTCTCTCTCACTTCGCCATTCTTCCTCGATTGGCGATTGAGGAGAGAACACGGTCGAGAACGCGGGGATTCTCCGTGTTTGAAGTTTCGAACCGGGCGTAACAGCTGTGGCGGTGGCGTCGGCAGCAATGTGCGGTCGCGTTTAGGACAAAGATGTACTCGAGGTATTCGAGGGGAGGAAAATCAAGGGAGAAGGGATTCTCGGGGCGATGGTCTTACGACTGGTGACAGGAAGAATGGTAGGAAGGGAAATAGGAAGATGGACAGGTAGGTAGGTAGACCAGTAAGAGAGAAAGGGAGGTCGATCGATGAAAGGGACACGGGAAATGAAGAGGAAGGGAAAATGAGAGACAGGATTAGCGTCGGGGTTGGGGGGGGGGGCGGAAGGAAGGAAAGATGGGAGGAAGAAGAGGAAACAAGGTGGTACGCGAGGGGCGCGGGGACGAAAGAGGACAGGTAAATGGATAAATCGATCTCAGGTGGATGGATTGGTGAGCACTTCGAGGGACGGGGGGACGATAGAGAATAGGATGTTCTTATTAGGTTTAGAAAGGACTTAAGCTTAGGAAGGTTAGTTGTCGCCGCCCTCCTGTTGTTCGTCCGGCTCACCCTGCGTGTCACTGGTCCAAAGGGTGAGGTTGTCGCGCAGGAGTTGCATTATGAGCGTGGAATCTTTATAGCTGTCTTCATTAAGTGTGTCCAACTCCGCGATCGCATCATCGAACGCCTGCAATAGTCCAACAAGAATCCATTACCACACCTAGCATCGGCTCTCGTCGGCTTTGAGACATTCCGGCGCATTTATTGTTTTTTTTTTTACGAACAAGCGAATTAATCACATGCAAAAAGCGTAGAGAGAAATTTAACGCGAAAACAAGAGCGATGCAAGAGGAGAACTATTGTATAGATATAGACACAGAGATACAGTGGAGGCATTATTGTAGTCACACCAGGCAAAAAAAAAACGGTTAATCGTTTGGTAAGTTAGAGGATTCCGGTACAACGGTTATCAATCGTTTGCACGTAGAATCGTTCTCGGTTATGTGGTTCGGGTGTATCGACAAAAATCTCGCAAACGTAAAAAAGAAAAAAAAACTTTCGCGCAACCAAATTCTAACCTGTTTGGCCAGGTGGCAAGCCCTGGCCGGAGAATTAATAATTTCATAGTAAAAAACGGAGAAATTCAGAGCAAGACCGAGCCTAATTGGGTGAGTCGGCTGCATTTTCGACTTTGCTATGTCGAAAGCTTCTTGGTACGCCTTCTGCGAATCCTCGACAACCGCTGCAATGCAAACGGATAATTCAAATTAACTAGTGTTACACCGTTTTTTTTCTCGTGAGAGCGAATCGATTCGAATCTGGAAAAAAAACAGGAGCAACTTTTGCTAATCTCTGCGGAACGAAAATAAACGTTTCTGCACCGTCGAGACCCAAGCACAATATTTTTGCCTCCACTGCAGCGCTACCACCACCACCACCACCACCACCACCACCCAATCATCGTTATCATTTCTACTGCCACAGTGTATCCTTTTGCATCCTCTCGACATCAATCTCCGCTAAATTGTACCTGTTTTGCCAGCTGACAGGCCTTGTCTGGTGAGTTGAGGATCTCGTAATAGAAAACGGAGAAGTTGAGGGCAAGACCTAGCCTGATCGGATGAGTAGGCTGCATCTTTGACTTGCTGATTTCAAAGGCATCTTGGTATGCCTTCTGGCTGTCGTCTACCACGGCTGCGTATGCGTAAATATTACGTGGAAAATTGGATTATCATATTTTCGTGTGGGCGATGATCGAAAGCTTTCCGGAGGGGGCTTCTCAAATTCTAGGTACGCGGGACAGAATCTTTTGAAAAAATAAGAAATGTTCGGTCGAACAACCGTGACGACACCGTTAGCATTCAGAATGAAAGTTGCAGCAGGTATGCGCTTGTAACGAACGTCATGGAATTTTTTAAATCCATCTAAATCCAACAATGCGACCGACAAGCTTCGGGTCGAACATCTGCCGTTGCAGCTGTGGTTCTTCTTTCACGGGGTGCACAGGTACGACAAAAGTATCGTGCACCTTTCCGCGCCAAGAAAGAAACGCATTGACCTCGTGCAAACAATTTCAGATACAAGTAAAAGCGCGTCGTCTCCTGTGTATCGAAAATTTCGAATAACGCTTAAACGCGCGTCGCCTTTTCCAAAGGCGTTTTCGAAAATCGATTAGCCGGGTGTTGAGAATCCAGCGTTCGCTACCAGCATATATAGGCAAGCAACGGTGGTCTCCGTAGTAACAGAAAATACCATTGAAACGATTTATACACATTTTGGTGGCTAGACGGAGATTTTAAACGCGCCGTGTTTTCGATGTTGGTAGCGAGCACGCGTTAAATCTACGAAGATTGTGCGATGCATACCGTGTCTGGTTTCTCCGGTGGCGACTTCTGCGAGATACCTGTAGTAGTCACCCTTCATCTTGAGGTAGAATACTTTGCTCTCGGCATTGCTGGCCTTAGGGATCAGGTACTTATCGAGGAGTTCCTACAACATCAACGATGCAGTCAGCAACGCGAGAGTTGTCGCCACACGAACGGTCGGAAATTCCGGATAAGAGCCGTTCGAGAGGTGCTCGCGCGGGCCGATCGCGGGGAATGAAACGCGTCGCAGCCGCGATATATCCAGTATAGCTACCCGACGCAGGCGTGTCGTTTCCTCTTCCGCTTCCCGTCTATTTCCGGACATTCGAACCCCGTTGGCTCGCGCGATACGATGCTCGCCGGTATTCGTAAGCGATCGCGAGACCGTGCACACGAGGTGCGAGGAGATCGTTCGACGTGTCTCTGCCTCGCGGGTAAATAAAGAAACGCGCTCGCTTCCTGAAACGCTTTGTCGCGCGTTCAAGTCTGAGAGTTCCCGTTCCCGGCTGGCGTTCGCTGGACGAAACTTAGCAAGAAGGGAGATGGGCGCGTGTAAGACGAGCCAGTAAAAAGCGCTCGTAATTGACCCGCGTGAAATTCAAGCCGTAGGGCGATCTCCGCTCTGCCTTCCAGCTCTTCGAATACGCGTACGCGACTCATAAACGAGATCGTAGGTTACAGTAAGACGAGACTGGCCAGCAATACCCGGGAACCGTGCAATCCTGCCTCAGCCGAGATCGCAGGAAGGCTCCGGCGGGAAGATTACTATGAACTGTTCGCGAAACCGAGTCGGTAGATTCGTTCGATGGTAAAATAGTCCAATCGACGATGACCATCGCAGCCATGAGCTTCGAGCTCGAGTATGGCTTCTAGCTTTCGGAAAACTTGACGCTTTCTAAATGATCCGAGGATCGTTTCATCGCTATCGCCGTGCAACTAATTCAAGACATTTACTGGCTCGTCCTGTTGGATGGATTTACAGACCGCGCGCGGGGCTTTTATGCGAGCATAAGCGAATTTATAACAACTGGAAATCAGAATGCGAAAGTTCCTCCCACTGGAAGTCTAATAAATGCTGGAAATGCATAAAAATCCGCAGGCCAGCGATTAAATAAAAAGTCCCAGAGATCCACGAGCTTGTGTTTCAACGAAATGGGGCACGCGCGGCCTCGTGTGTGCCAAGCTAAGGTTAATGACCTTCAAGATACGTAAAACGCATTAGAACGATCTTAGAGCGTTGCCAACGATCCGTCGAAATGGAAGATGTACGCTCGGAACAACATTAATCGCTTGCCGAGATTGTTTATCGAAAACTTATTTATAGATCTTTCGACGTGGCCATATTACACAGCCAACGGAAGAAAAACAAATTAAAAAGAAATTATAAAGGTTCTGTCATCGCAATGATCCGTCGTTTTCGCTGAAACAGATCCGGACTTCGCGTGTGATCAGCTTTAGCTCAAACGCTAAACAAGTCGAAGTTCGAGATCACGGATTAGAAACTGGTCCGAAGGGAAATCTCGCGGACGCTGATCGGAAGCTGATCGTAGTTCTTACCAATACGTCGTAACAGATCTCTCGTAGTTCCTTCTCAACCTTTTCCCGGTATTCCTTAGCCATCTGCTGTTTGCGCTCGGATCCTTCGGTCTTTTGCTCGATCGAGGATATTACTCGCCACGAGCTACGTCTCGCGCCGACGACATTCTTGTACGCTACTGACAGCAAATTCCTCTCTTCGTTCGACAACTCGACTCCCGTTTCGGTGACCGCTTTCATCGCAGCTGCCATATCGTCGTACCTTTCCGCCTGTTCGGCGAGCTTCGCACGCTGTACCAATTCCTCCTTGTCCACGGACATTGTGTTGGCTGAAAAAGAAAAATCCCCAAACGACTGTACAACGTGGTCGCTATTATTGCGCAACGGTCGTATAGTTCTAAACCGCTACTTATCGCGCGAGTTTCGCGTCGTTGTTGATGCGAGCGTTCCCCGGCAGCGGCGAACGCGAACGCGCGCAAACCGTACGTGAGAATAGATTTCACCGACGCGTTTAGAACAGGATGACGTACTAGACTTGTCGCGTCGAACGAGGCCAGAGTTACGTTCCCCGAAAAAAAGAAAAAAAAATAAAGACCATCGGTTCGAGCGAGAGAGAGAGAGAGATAGCACGGTCGAAGCTTTTCATTCTTGTCCTTCGTTCCCAACGGATCGGAACAGATGGCCGACTGACTCGGTCTTGGCCGAGACTCCCAGAGGCTCTCGAAACTCTCGGAAAAGCCGTATTCACCTAAGAGAACCTAAAACGGAAGTTGGACAACGACGCTTTCACGGGCTTTTCGGCGAGCCGTCCGTGGCATCGACCCAATAAAATATCATTGGCCTCTCTCTCTCTCTCTCTCTGGGTGTCATTCGAAAGCCTCGCTAGGTTGTCGAACTCTTTCATCGATCCCCGCGGACACCCCGACGGGGCCTCTCCTCTTGTCTCGAGATCGTTGCGCGAAGTATACGCGCGTTCGAAATCGTTGGACAACCGACGAGTTAAGCTGCTCTCGGAATTTCATGGAACGTTCGATAAAGCCCGTATTATCGTGCGTGATTTATCGCGATCGTGTTTTCAATTTGAAACAATTTTCCTAGAATCGACAGGCCAGTTTTTACGCGTTCGCAGCGACGTAACCGCGATTCTCTCGCGGTGAGTCACCATTTTAGCTCTCTCTCTCGGTCTCCGACGATGGACACCGGTCGACCATCGGCAGCGAACACGCGAGAAAGAGCGAAAGAGTATACGAGAGCGAACGAGCCCCCCTTTCGGCCCTTTTCGGTCGAACCAAATCATTTCCGAGGCATTTGCGTCTCGGTATTCGCCTTGGTTCCCGCCCGCGAACCGTCCGCCCGCGTTTCGAGAATTGGCTCGAGCCGTGGAATGCGGCAACTATCGCCCGGTTCCGTTCGATCGAGTCAACTTCCGCGACGAGCTTCTAAAATTATCCGAATTTTACTGTTGCCCCGAGAGAGCATCGCGCGCGTCGTTGTCACTCCGCTGGAAATGATGCTTACGACGCGACACACAACACAACGAAGGGAACACAGTACGACGTTCGCGATCTACTGAGAGAAATGTGTCGCGGACGGGAATCGATCGGGCGAATACCACGGCGAATCGAACGCGATGAAAAAGAGGTTAATATTTCTGAACACGACACTATATACCCGTCGACGACGCTCGGTGGCCCGAGTCTAACTCGAGCTGCGATCGATATCCGAGCGGTAGCCGTTAGTGTCCCGTCGATAATACTCTTTCGACACAAAATGGCCAATTTGTAACGAAATCGCGAATTAATCGCTTGTAAATCGTGCATTCAGACACCAACGAATACGGGTTTTGTTAACCCCTTAATGCACAGTTTTTTTGAAAAAGGCCGGCCAAAAAAGGTCAATCTTCTTTCAATGTAAAAAAACACAATTTAGAACGTTGTCTTGGCAAGAAAATTACAAAAATACGAAAATAATCGAAATTTTTATTGCAATTCTAATTTTCAGAATATTACTATTATTGTTGTTATTATTATTATTATTGTATTTTATTTTACATTATATTTTGGTAAAACATATGTTGAAAAATGAGCGAATCAGAATCTGAATATGAATACGCTATCGGAAAGCGGCTCACAAGGAAGAGATAAGTCGCAAGTGATAAGTAGAAAAAAAGGATATATTTTATACTTGAATAAGTAAGTGTTATAGCTTATAATCCCATGTAAATGATAAATATCAATAAAACGATTGCTTTTTTTTTGTTGCTTTCACATTGTTATTTTCAATTCTCGATCGCATTCGAGTGTGAAAGATTATAGCAACATAAAGTACAACGCCGCTCGAATTATCTCGAGTGTGCACAGTTCGGCCAGTTTAGCGCGCTCGAGGTAACTCGAGCGTGCACGTTAAGGGGTTAATAAAAAAAATGACAGTACGTTCGCGCTGGACTTGAAATTGATCGAAGCGAGTCAAACTCGAGATTCCGAAGAAATTATGCCTATAATCAGCACGACGAGTCTTCTATAATTGAACGCGAATTAAGGGAAGTGGTGCATCGATGTAAGACCGATGTTCTAATCTCGCGACTAGGGATACGAGACTTCGTGAAATTCCAACGTGCTTTCGGCCACAGGAGTTACCGCTAATGACATCGCGAAGGTTACGAGCGGCGGCAGTTAACGACGACAGCGAATCGTTATCGGCGGCGATAGCGTTCGTAATCACCGCGCGCTGCTCGACGATGTTTGCGGCATCAATCGTACAATGTAACCAGGAGAAAATACGAAAACACGAAGAAGAAGAAGAAAAAAGAAACGACGATCTCGTTGGAATCGTGAAGCACGGTCACAAGAGTACAAGTTCTAACGAACGAGGGAGAAATGAACACAGGACGTCGCGATGGGTCGTTTTCTAGGTTTTCCAGGCGCGCGCGCGCGCGCTCGTCCATTGAACGACCGTGAGACACGAGAGCAGTACGACCGGAGAAAAGTATTTCGAGAATATCTGTTTCGGACGACCATCGTCCGGCGCGCGCGCTGCGAACGGTTCGAGGAATTGTCTGGAAGAAGCGCTCTCTTCCCTCGTGTTCGAACGAAGGCGTAGGCCGTCTCGAAGGAGGTCCGTTCCGCCATGAATATATTTGGGAGCAGCAGCTCTTCCTTTTCGGGCGAGAACGCGCGAACCTAGATAAATTGCCGTGATCGCGCGCGCGGCCTATATCGATCGGATAGATCCGACTGGTGTTATCAGGTGGAGACATAGGCGCCATCGCCGCGCTCGCACGGCCGTCACTGGCCGTTAATTCGGGACATTAACGCGCGCGTCGCGACGCGTACACTGCGCACGCGAGATTATACCACGGCCAGCGTAAGCGTTAACGCGAGAATAAGCACGAGCTTGAGGAGGGCATGAGGCATGAACATTGAGCCACGAGTATGGACATGCAAGCGGTGAGCATAAGCAGGCAAACGGAAGGAAAGGTCGGCGCGGGCGAGAGATTTCTGCGCTCGAAGAAACCCGGACAGAAATATTAAACCGGTAGGTGTATTCGACGTCCTATATTTAATCGCGCGATCACCTGGCTTTGGGTTAGCAAATGCTTGGACAGACGACAGTGTTGCCGGATCCACGAGAAACAACACCGCGCGTTGCCGCTGAAATATTTCCGGCGTAGACATTTCGAGCAGACACCGCGAATGGAACGAGACGAACATGCCGAGTCTTAACCGACCCTTACCGGTCTGCCTTTCGTGCTTCCTCAATAAAAAAAAAATTGTCCTAGTCCCGAAGACCGGCTGAGATTCTTCTTTTCAATAAAATACGAAACGGTCGTGCGACGACACCGCCGGCGAAATTTCCGACGCGGACGCGTCGCGAATACCTATGATTCACACGACGTCTTCCGAGGAATCTCGAGTTGGACTGTACGTGCCAAGTTCACCGACGGGAACCGTGCAAACGGAATGATGCTGGCTGGTTGGCTGGCTGGCTGTTACCGGTTATCGTCGGAACAGTAGCTGCACGGGATTTACGTGATACTAGAACGCGTCATTCCTTCGATCGCGACCAGAGCACCGATTTCGTAGAACCATCACGGCTTATCTGCGGCTATGTCGCACTTAAACCGTCGTTACCGTCTTTTCTCTAGGCAGATCTCGGTTCGATGACTCGCGGCCCCAGCTACTTCGATACGATCGAATCGCGGCGAATCGATATCTCGCGGGAGGGCGGACCGAACGGTCGATAAAAGTGACTCGATTTCCAAAAATAGTACGAGATCCTACACAGCGACAACGTAATACGGCCGCGACGACCGAGAACGAACGAGGAAACAATGTTTTATCGAGCCCGAACACGTACGAGGGAAACGAAAAATCGAAATTTTCCCGAAAAGCAGAGAGCGCCACGACCTCGTTGCTAAGACCGAAGATTATGTGCTGGAACACGCGTCATTCCGATGAGCAATCTCCATCGCGTTAAGTATATATCAGTAACGATTTGAGGTTATGGTCGGCACAATCGCAATCACGATTCGAGAGGCAGCCAGACAGAGCGCCACGGCGCTACTTTCACGAAGCGAGAGCGAAATTCTTCGTCTACGCTTTCTGTCCCTCCCTTTCTCTCTCTCTCTCTCTCTCTTTCGGGCAACACGCCCCGTCCTCGAGGTACTCGATTCCATGGCGTACGATACGCACGAGGAACGAGAACGGCGAACAGAGAGGAACAAAGAAACCGACGCAACGGATCGCTTTTGCTTCCGGCGAGGCTAATCGGCGTCGTCGCAGGGACCACGTACCGATTCCGTTCTTCTACGTCGTAGTCACGCGACGCCGCAGAGGAGATCGAACGAGCGTCGTTAAGGCCAAGAATTATTTGCCTAGAAACGCGATCGTTCGGCGGTTTCCGACTTGTTCTCGAAAAATTCGGTTTCGGAAATAGGATAACGCGTAGCACTATGCGTCGACGAGAACGAAACCCGAGACTGAGAACGGAAGAGTCGCGAGGCGGGGAGGAGAGATGCCAAGAAGGATCGCGCAGACTGGATGTAAGAGCGCCTACGTTACGCGTGTCTAGAGCTAGACGGATCGGCGAATAGGAGCTGCTAAGCAGATTACGAGCCGGGTGTAGAAAGCAAAGGAGAGCAATGCGGGGCGACTTAACGTCGCAGTCTTACCTATAGTTAAAGTCTTTTGTACAATAAATACTTAAATAAATACACGGTCTCGGCGTATTCCGTGGGATCGCGCGGCAACAGGAGGGGGTCCGAAAACTGACTAGACTCTCGGTATTGCTAGTGTTTCTTTTGATCCGGAGGTAAAGAGCGAGAGCGTATTACGCGGAGAAACTACGCCGGGTCTTTTTCCTCAATCACACTCGGTTACGATACCACACATCCCTCGGTGACCACTCCCGCACAGCGACTGAGCCGGCAACGCTGTTCGTGGTGGGGACTCGGCGTACCTCGTGCAAGGACTCGGCGGCGTTCGTGCGCCTTCGAGCCCCGTCGATTCCCCTCGTGCCGGCTCGGGCCCGAACCGAAGTATTGATCGGCTCGCCCAGCATGGTCGGCTCGGTGAGGTTGGGTGGGGCAGCGGTACACGACTGTCCCGGGACACCAGAGACATGGAACGCGATGCGCCGCGGCGAGCCAGCCCGAACGGAACCGAGCTGATCCGATCTGATCCGCGTCGTGACGCGCCACCCGACCTACCATGCCGCGCCGCGTTGTGCAGCGCGTCGTGGGCTCTCTCTGTCTCTTGCCGATGCCGGTAACATTTTCTCGTTACCGCATTCGCCGTCCCATTTTCTTTTCCCCTTACCTTTCCCCGTAGGCACCTTATTCGATCGGCGATCAATTTGTCCATCGGTCAACGCATTCAACGTTATCGAACAATTGCAAACCGATCGTCGGTCAATGAAGCTTCACGAAATGATCGAATTCTCGAAATCGACGTACCAGGCCCCGTATTCGGTGCACATTCAACATTCTTTCGCAGTGGTTGGTGAACGTATCGATTCGAGCGGTTCTTGTTTATGCTCTGGAGAAAATACACCCTCGCTTGCATAAAATATAACACGAATAGGAGGACCAAAAGAGCCGGGTACAGCGAACGTGCATCCAATTCCAGGATCATCGAATAAAAGATCGCATACATTCCCGGGGAATTTTTCACTGTGCCAACTGGCTGAATCCTGCCGTAAGTAGCTTTTAGACGCCATTAGTCTTTTCTTTCTCAGATTTCGGGCTCCCGAGGTTGGGATCGTTTACCGTTTCGTTAAAAAAGAAAGAAAAGCGGGAGAAGCTTAAGGTTCGCGTCTCGAACCGTCTCAATAAAGTGACGGGCAGTAGGGGGAGGGGGGTGAAAGAGAGATACGAAGTAAATAGAAAAAGAAGCAATTATACAAGGCTACAATAGTGGAATCGAGAAGACGAGCGCCAGAAGTAGGGGTTGGCTGGCGAGGTTGAAATGAAATATTGATCTGCGGAGGCGCGCGCAACCCCTGCAGCCGACCCGCCCTTCCTTCTTCCTTGGCCGCCATTTTCCGGCTCGTACTTTCTCTAGATCTCTTTCTCTTTTTATCTCAGGCTGTGGCCCTTTGTCAGCGGGCTCTCCTAGAATATCTTGCCCGCCGCAAATAATCGTTCTCACGCGTCCGGTTCTCCTTCAAATTCTTCGCTTTCCAAACTTTTCGACCCCGCCTTGCTCCTACTTCCGCAACAACGTTCAACTGCATTTCAGTTCGACGATGCCCAGCAAAGAGTTCGAAGATAAAAGAAAGAATTGCACGAAACGATTCCGTCGGTGTATTATTTTTTTCTCGTTCCACATGGATAATTTCGTTCGTTCGCTCCCTGTGTGTGAACCAAGCACTGAAATACTATGGCGCGACCCTCTCTCGTCAATCGATATGGAGCAATGTCGCGCAACGAGCTTGTTCGGTCGTCCGATGCGACCGGAGCTTCGCACCGTGCTCGATCGTATTGATCCTGTCGGCGAAGTTGGACGAATTTGCAACGAGTCCTGTATTCCATGTACAGAGCATTCAGATTTCCGATTAATATCGTCAACTTCTCGACGGAGTGTTGCGTGCTGTAGGAAACGATCCTGCTTTCGGCCAACCGAGTGCTGCAGGGTTTGCCAAAGTATTAATACAAAATACAGAGTAAACGGACGAAACGGATTGGCGCGATGCCTCGGGTAGCGTTGCATAGGCGTCGCGTCGCGTCGCGCCGCGTAATGGTAATCGATAGAGTCCGGTCTTACGAACCAATTTCCGTATTGACGGTTCCGTGTATCAGTTTCGACAGTTCGCCCCCACCACTTCTCTCCAGGTATAGAAACCAAAGGATTGGATAACAACACAACAGGTATCTGGGATTGTTGCGCGTAAATGACTTTTCTCTGGTTAAAAGACTGTGGGGTCTTTTCGCATGTTTGGATTCTCGCGTTTTCGAGCGATTTACAGCACCTCGAGGAATGCGCGTATAGCAACCGGAAGCGGATGGAAACGTAAATGAGGTTGACGACGAGTCGAGAGTCGCGGTTATCCGGCGATATTTAACGTTCCGCTCGGAAACGAGCGCGTACGCTAGGTTAGTAACACGTAGATCAATATTAGCTCGCGGTTTGCGCGTGACAGAGCTCCGACCCGCTGCTATAGAAAGTCGTTTATTCTCATTTTGTGTCGCGCAAACAGGTTGCGAGCTAGAAAAGGCAAACGGTAGCGCATCCACTCGGAACGGGAGGCCTACGTGGCTGCAGCAGCTCGTCGCGGCGTCGGTCACTCGGATTCGCCGATAAAGCGACACGTGCTTCGAAACGCTATAGGCGACAGGACGGACGATCGGGCATCGATCGACCGTCTCGAAATTCGCAATTCCGATTCTACTGCTCGAAATTAACCTTTCAGGTACGGCTGAATTCTGCGCGAGGCTCTGCCTCCCTGGACGGCAGAGTCTGATATCTACTGTACAGAGTGTCTGTATATTCTGTCTGTATATTGTTAAGATACAGTCATATTGTTAAGATAAGTCTGTATATTGTAAATCGATGCGAAGACAAAAGAAGTGTAAAACAATGCATACGAAGACGATTATTTGATTCGAACGATGACCGAGCGAGCTACTAGAGCAAGCCACTATAGTGGCGCGTCGTCCAGAGAGATGACATCCGCGGAAGCCACTATAGTGGCGCGTCGTGCCTAAAACGCAAGAGCTAGGTTCGGAGAACACACTGGGTGCGGGAAACCGATAAAGCCGGGCGGTGGACGGACCGGTCGACGGGTGTTCTCGCGCGCCATACCCAATTTCAATTTCAATACGTATCTTCCCTCGACATGTCCAACGAAAAATAAAGCCACGAGCGCGTACTATCGAGCGGCAAGGAAGCGTAACTATTACGACACTGACCTTGCTCGCGCGGCGCCGCGCTGCTCCGCGTCGCCTCGCCTCGCCTCGCGCCGCGCTGCTCGGCTCGCAGGCGTTCGCGAGTTTCCCCGAGCCGAAGCTCTAAAAAGCTTTTCCTCGTA